ATGGTAAATTTTCAATAGTAGTAAAAATTGAAGGAAGTTAGAGCCTTTTATTTTTAAAAATAATAAAAATATAATTATATTTAGGTTTCATAGAGTGACTATAAATAAGAAATTTAAGTCCTAAGAAATGAGAACATTTTTTTTAGAGTATTGCGAAACAAAGGAAGAAAAGGGAAAGAGGAAAAAAAAGAAGAAAAGAATAAACATTTTGAGGAATGAACATCATAAAAGTATAAGAATCTTTAAAGTACACATCTTGTAATCAAGAATGAACATTAGAGGTTGAAAAAGTGAGAGTTTCAATCAAAGAATCCTAAGCCACCATGAAATAGTTGACAAAACAAGCACGAAAGAAAATAAACTTCTCTTTGTTTGGGAGTCAAGTAAGAGCTTACCTTATTTTATTTTTATTTTTAATTTTTTTTTGTATTTTTTTTCTTGTTCTTCCTTGTTCATACCAAAATCTTAAAAAAATATAAACTTGTCAAACTCTAAAAAAGTTTTTCTTTTCTTTTCTTTTTACTAATAAAAAATTAATTTTACAAAATCTTAAAAATCTTAACTTTTTTTTTTTAAATCCTAAAAATCTAATCTTGTGAAATCCTAAAAAGGTTTTCTCTTTTTTTAAAAATAAATATCTAACATTTTTTCAACCCTAAAAAGAGGTTTGATATTTATTAAAAAAAGAAAAAAAGAAATCTCTTTTGTATGGTTTCACAAGATTAGATTTTTAGGATTTTGGAAAAAAAAAAGTGAGGAATTTTAGGTTTTGTAAAATTAATTTTTATTAGTAAAAATAAAAGAACCCAAAAGGAAAAACAATTTTAGAGTTTCATGAGATTAAATTTTTTCAAGATTTTGACATGAACAAGTAAAAATAAGGGGAAAAAATAGAACACAAAAATAAATTATAAAAAAATAAAATAATAAAATAAGCTACATGTACTTTGGAGATTGTAATACTCTAAGGATGTCTGTTCCTTTGACGTTTTTCTCATTTCTTTGTTTCACTATACAAAAAGATTCTTCTCTTCTATTTTTTCTCTTTCCTTTCTTGTTTTCTATATGTTTCACCGTACTCCCAAAATTAATATCCTCCTTTTTAAGAACTTAAGCTTCTAATTTATAACCTTACTAAAATCCTAAATTTTATTTTATTTTTTAAAATAAAAAATAAAATGCTCTAACTTCCTTATTTTCTAGGACTACTAATTCATTCTTCTAAAAATCTACTATTTCTTATTGATTTTTCTTCTACTAACCTACTGACAACCATAAATATTGACTTATTTTTAGAATCTAAAATTTTAAAACTTTAAATTCTATGGAATCTAATTTTTATTTTTTAAATTTTAAATTTATAAATCTTAACTCTCAATAGAATCTATTTTTTATTTTTTTATTTAAAACTTTTAAAATTTATTTAAATGAAACGCAAATAAAATTATTTTAAATTTTTGTCAGTAAAAAAAAAGAACAAATTTTTTTTAGGGTTTTATTAGATTAAATTTTTTTAAAATTTTGGCATGAAGAAGTGAGAACAAGAAAAAAAGAACACAAAAAAGAATTATTAAAAAAAATAAAGTAAGATTTTACTTGACTATTAAACAAAAATAAATTTATTCTCTTTCATGTTTTGTTTTATCGACTTTTTTGTTGTGACTTGAGATTTTTTTATTGAAGCTCTTTTTCTTTCAACTTCTAATGTTTGTTTTTAACTCAAGTACATGTACTTTAAAAATTTTAATACTCTCGGAATGTTTATTACTTTAACTTCCTTTTCTCTTTTCTTTGTTTTATTGTACTATCAAAAAAACGTTCATCTCTTCTGGTTTTTTTCTCTTTCTTCCATTTTTTCTCTTTGTTTTACCATATTTTCAAAAAAAGTGTCCTCCTTATTTAAAACTTAATTTCTTATTTATAGCCACTTTCTATAACCCTAAATTCTAATTTATTTTTTTTATTATAAAAAATAAAAGACTCCAACTTTCTTATTTTTTAAGTACCATTAATTCACTTTTATAAAAATCTACCATTTTTTATTGATTTTTCTTCCCGTAACCTACTTACTTGATAATAAAAAAAATATCTATCTATTTTGAGATTTTTTTTTACATCCTAACTCCTTATAGAATATAAAATTTTAAATCTTATAGAATATATTTTTGTTTTTTAAATTTTAAATTCATAAATTTTAACTTTCTAAAGAATCTAATTTTTATTTTTAATTTTTTAATTTTTAATTTTTAAATTTTATTTAAATAAAATCCAGATAAAAATTGAATATTCACAATTTTATTTAAAAAGAGTTATGCTATATAATAATATGAATAATTTTGTACAAATTTTTAATTTTTTATTAGTTAAAAATTAAATAATAACAAAAAAAGAAAATATAAACACAAACCACGGTATATTCTTTTTGTCACTTTTCGTATGACGCTCATTTGTATAATTAAGCATTTTCCATTAAAAATATCTCATGTATATAATATTTTTATATAACTCTATCTTTGTAGATAATGACATAAAAAAAGTGTTGAATAAATAAATAATAAGGATAATGAGCGCGTGGGGTATATATGTTTGTGCTGAAGAAGTTATTGTTGGCGAAAGAGGAGAAAGGAGAGTGAGTGCTCTAAAGGGGCAGTTGGACTTGGACATTTCACATCCCAATAACCATAGCTTCAACTTGGACGTCTCCTACATTGCTCTACACTTCCACCAATCATTCGAAGAATATTATATTCAAAATTATTAATAGACTAATATTTTACATAGAAATTACCGATAATTATTGTATATACAGTTATTATAAGAAGAGAAAAAGAAAAAAAGAAAAAGTAAGTAATATAATAAATAATTTGATAAAAAATGAAAATAAATATTAGGTCAAATAAGGTATATGAAAAAATATATAAAAATATTATTATTGTTCTCATGTATGCTCTTTATTCAATTATTATTTATGCAACAGATTAATAAATTTCTGTGGTTTAATCAATGTTAATATTGATGATACTTCTTTATTTGTTGGACCAAGCTCTACACTCCAATAAAAAAAAAACACTTAACAAAGATATTTTAATATTAAGATTAAATTATATATTAATTAATACACTTTTATAACTTAATTTTTATACTTAAAATTTACTTTCAGGTTTTATATAAATTTTTCATTGTATTTGATTTCTTGTTACAACACTATTAATTAAATTTACTTTTTATTGAGTTGTATTTTTCTAAAGATGCCGTAATAGTAAGATCATAATACTTATGTAAAAATTAAAGAATAGTTTTTTAAATATATAAACTAGTTCGTGGATGAATATCAGTTATAAGAATTAAATATTTATTTTTACTTAATATTAATATTACTAATTCTCCAACATAAAAACTAATGTTACATGATGCTAATACAATAAATTTAAATATTTTATTTATAAATAAAATAATTTTTTAAATTATTTATTTATTTTTAACAATTTACATTATAGTTATATAATCTTCATTTGCTTTCAATGTTGTTTATCATGGAATACATATGTAATTGCATTATCAAGTATTTTAAATATTATATTTTTATAAAATAATTTTAATTTTAAAATAAATTTTTATTAATTTTAATTTAATCAACACATTTTATATTATTTTAGATAAAATTATGTAATTTTGAGTTATCTATTACATATGAAAATCCGTAGAAACAAAGAAGGATCTGTAAAATCAAAATAATTTTTTTAATATTAATTAATATTATAATATATAAAAAGGAATAAAATATAGATATAATAAATTTTTTATTTTGAAGTTAAATATGTATTTTAAAATTATAATAAAATTATATAGTTAATTTAAAGTAACGATGGACATTATAAGTACGTGAACAATTCTAAACTTATTTTTAATTTTAAAAGATTATATTATTTTTAAAAAATTAATATTTTTTAATAAATTTTAATGACAATTTCTCTTATTTTAAAAAAATATTTTATTTTTAAAAAATATATTTTTTAATATGTTCAGTAGTATTGACATTACTAATCAAAATGGAGTAAAATATACTGTCATTTTACATGTAAAATAATCATTATTATTAACGCACAATAAAATTAGTGATTTAATTAAAAAAAAAACTAACATTAAAAGAATATCATTAGTCTGAATATATAACATGGAGAAACAACAACAGTTTACTGTATATGAAACTGAATATATGAAAAGGCTACGATTTCAATCCGAAGAATTAATGCACTGGTGCAAGAGTTCGTTAATTCACATTTGCAATTGATCTATTCAATGTAGAACCTCACTTCGATTTCAAAAGCAGTGTAAATGCATTTTTCATTTTGGTTTGACTTTATCAGTGGAAATTCTATCTGCGTTCAAAGAAATTAATAATTTTAGTTACTGTTTAAATTAATGTGTTAAATTCGCGTGCAAGTGCATATTCGACGTGTTAGATTCAAATAAGGATCTTAACTACCCGTCTTTCGCCCTTTTAGATGGCAGGATCTTGTCCCCCTAATAAAAAATAGATAGCAGGATCTAGTAAACTCCGGGTAACTGTAAACAAATCTCTTAATACCATAATAATCATAAAAATTCACAAACACTACATTAAATGCATACTATAAAATTTACCCTGTGGGAAATAAGAATTACAACCTTACGAATAAGAAAAATATATAATCCATATATACCTGGCTTCTAGATAGGTCCAAGTTGTCACATGGCTGCAGTGACTGCAAGATCGTGTGTGAAAGCAACTTTGGAACAGTGTCTCGCATCGCAGGTAGGTCCATTGTGGTTAACAAAGCACTAAACATTGTACAATTAAATTAACAAAATCTGATTCACATCATGTCGGTCGGAAATAGTAGCACTGTCCTTTTTTTACTTTAAAAGAAACTGAGAGAAAGGTCGACTTGCACATGCGCCAGTTTAGACAAAGACGTGTATTTAGCAGCGTTTGTGTCATTGCATGATTGGTTATTGCGAGTGCCATTCCCATTTCTGTTTTTTTCCCAAAACCCAATAATTCCCTAGATTTTTGTTATGCTGCAGACCCACACCGGTCCACCACCCTTATTTTTTCATCATAAAATATTTATAGACAACTTTTGAGATACATATAAAAAAAAACCATTTTTCATAATTTTTCTCTATTTATTTTCTGTAAATATACCCCACATAAGGTAGACACAGTTTGAACAAGGGGTAAAGTTGAGGCTGTGACACTGAAGCCACCCTCTATATATCAAGATCCAGTTTGTCCTTGATTCTCAATCTCACACAGCTCGCAACCCCAAAATTTTCTCTCAACCAATTTCAATTCTAAACCAAACATGGGAAGGGTTTCCCCTCTTTTCTTGCTTCTCTCTGTACTCTATATTGCAGGCATAGCCAAGTTGACAATTGCAAGTCCCAGCAATTTCATAAAGTCCTCTTGCAGCACCACTCAATACCCAGCTTTGTGTGTTGAGTCTCTCTCAGTCTATGCCACCACCATCCAACAAGACCCTCACCAATTAGTCCAAACAGCCTTGTCAGTGAGCCTCAACAGGACTGAGTCCACCAAGGCCTTTGTCACAAAGTGCAACAAATTTAGGGGCCTAAAACCAAGAGAATATGCTGCCTTACATGATTGTGCTGAAGAAATTAGTGATAGTGTGGACAGGCTAAGCCGTTCACTCAAGGAGCTGAAACTGTGCAATGTCAAAGGTGAGGATTTCAATTGGCACATAAGCAATGTTGAGACATGGGTCAGTTCTGCCTTGACTGATGAAAGCACTTGCAGTGATGGGTTTGCTGGAAATGCCCTTAATGGGAAAATCAAGGCTTCAATTAGAGCTAAAATGGTGAATGTTGCTCAGGTCACTAGTAATGCTCTTGCACTCATTAATCAATATGCTGCAAAACACTAGGGAGCTTGTCGTACAAGAGTCCCAACGGTTTTTGCTTTGTGCGTTTGAGGAAATGAGGAACATCACCTCTTTGTGGTTCCTTTTGTGTTTTATGTGATGTATGATAGTGAAATCCAGATAGAAAATATGCAGATCTTTGTTATGCTTTTCAAATGTGAAATATGAAAGAGTTCCGTTTTAGTTTGCTATTCTCGTTTCTCTTCTCAACTTCTAATTCACGATAGTAACATTGCTAACTTTTAACACATCTTTGGCCCAATTATCGATGAGCTGTTAATATTAGAATATGAAGGTTAGTTTTGTTGATTAAATTTAATTTGCTTTATCTTAGGGGTTAATTTTGTAAAAATCATTCACTTCTAGTTTTATTTTATTTAAAATAAAAAAGTTAAATAAAATTATAATATAGAATGAAGATTCTTAATTTAAGACCGAAGTTTGAGGTGCGGAAATCATGGAAGAAAAAAAGGAATCAAAGTCTAAATATGTTAGCAATGAATGCGGAGGAAGAAAAGAAAATGGAAGCAGAGTTTGAAATGATCACTTGTGCAGACGGACCCTAAAGTGCACCCCACTCTCCATTCCGTCACGCTAAGACATAAATAATCGTACCTGCTAACCTACTTCCTTTTGTTTTTATTTCACCTTCCCTTTCTCTTTCTATCAATTTCGATGTATCATTAAACTGATAAAGACATTTTTAACAATTATGCTTTGTGTAAAACTAATAAGCTATTTGTATGTTATATGACTATTTTTAACAGTTTTTATAAACATACGCAGAATTAAATTGAAAAATCAATAACGTACAATTTAAAATTTTTCATTTTCAATTTTCATTGGAAGAATAAGCATTTGCACATGGTTGAAAAGTATTTTATTTTCCCCTTCCCACTTGTAACGTTAAAGGGTAGCCACTAGCCATAGGCCAGCAAAGGGATCAGGTTGAGCGACTACAAATTTAATAATAGGCTATGGGTTCAAAAAATCAATAATGACAGCTTTCTATGTTTCATATTTCTTATTATAAAGGAAATACAAAATAAGGCTGTCTGTAGTTTTGTTTAAATTTATTTTGTGATAAAATTTGTATTGTAATTTATATTAAAATAATTCAAACTGATATTTTACAATTTTAGATTGAATAAGTTATTTTGAATTTTATTTTATCATTTTTAAAGGATAGTTACACTTAGTTTGTTATTTAATAAACAAACCAAAAGTTCATTAATTAAAGTATAAATAGAATCATAAATAATATATGAGTATTTATTTTAGGATATTAATTTAAGAGATAATATTTATGAAATAAAGAGTGAAAAAATAAAAAATAATAAATAATAAATTGTTAAAAATATTAAATATTATTATAAATTATAATTTAGTCTAAATTATAAACTAAAATAATGATTTTTAACTAAAAATACATCAACAAAATTTATGTTAAGTTAGTATTTATATAAAAATGAAATAGGAAAATTAATATAAATTTAATTTTTTTGTAATTTAGTTTGATTTTTATTCATTTTTAATTATTCTGATTTTTTATTTTTTCAATTAACAGTTAATTCATTTTCTTATTCTTTTAAGATTAGTTTATTTTTTTAAAGATTAGTTTTGAATACCTTTAATCTAAAGTTCAAAGAAAGTAAAATCAACAAAGCTGGACACAGTAGGTAAAAGGTTGAGTCCCATATTCACGTTAACAGGTGTTTGATTTCTTGCCCTGTGTATCTAACGGGTTTAATATTTTGAAAGTAGAATTAAAAAATCTTAGTTTAAGTTATTTTAAAAAATATTTAATTATTTTTAAAAATTTTAAAGAATGTTAAAATTAAAAATATATTCAAAATAAATAATTAATAAATATGGACTAATTATTAATTAATGTATTTACATCCATAACGACTGTAGTTAATTCTGTCTTACTTTTAGATTAGAAAATAATAATATATATAATTTAAATTATTATATGATATAAATATAAATATTCAAGAGTAGTTATTTATGAACATATGAAAATGGAATGTAGATAAGTCAGTAAATTCTGATTGTAGTTTTTGAAATTATAAGTATTAATTACGTTGCTTTTTACTTTAAAATTCTAGTTTAATTCTTAATTTTATCAAATAATATTTATTTTAAATATTTTAAATATAAAATAACAATAATACAGGGAAAAATTAAAATGAATATTCTTTTAAAATTTAATATTAAAGTATATATGTTATAAGAAAATTAAAACATCATTAATATACTTTTACCCCGATTTATAATATATTTTATTATTAATTGACCAAGAGATAAATCTTTGGATTCAAAACTTTTTGATATCATGATAAAAATGAAGAAAGAGAGAATAGAGTGCTTGAGAAAGAAGACAAGTAGTCTGGGAGAAGCTTGACAGTAGTGCTACCATTCAACTCGAATCGAATGGCAGACAAGTGTAGTTCTAGAGCTTCAACGAATGCCAGATATATTTGACATACTAAAAAGCACAACAATCATAATAAAAAAGTAAAAGGTGAAAAGAGATCAAGAAGACATTATTGAAAGGCTTCACATGGAGATGTTGGTTATCTTGAAAGGGCTTGAACTTGAACAGGGACATGTTTATGCTACCATCAATGGGACAATTTCTCACCCTAAGCTTCTAAAGAAGAAATGAGATTGTTAGCTATCAAAATAGATCAGATTAGGCTAGACTTTACCTTAAATAGGTTTGGTCTATTTTCAGCCTGATCTGACCTGTTTAGGTGGCTTGGCCTGACCTATTTAGGTGGTCTGATCTGATCTGAAACCTGTTAACAAAGTCTGTTACAAAAAAAAATCTCAATATTAATGAAAATATAAATATTTTATTATCAAATTAGTTTACATATATTTTTTTTTTTACTTTTCATCTATGTTATTGATAAATATTAAATAGTTGTAATAATTTTATAAATAATTTTTAAAATATTATTTGAGCACTAATTATAAATGTTTCATATTAAATAAATTTTAATTATTTTTTTATTTTTAAAATTATTAAATTATTAAAGATTTTAGTTTTTTTAGAATCATATTTTATTTGTTTAAAAACATCTTATATTTAATAAATAAAGTCATAGTAAACACATAAAATTAATCACAAAAAATAACATTCACATAATTTATTGAATTAGCTGAAATAAAATTATTATATTTTAAAAAATAAATAAATTTAAATTCAATTTAATATATATATATAATGAAAATAATAATAACTATTAAATTAAAAAATAAAATAATTATAAAATATTTAATTTTTTTTATTTCATTAATTTTTTATTTTAAATTAATAAATATACATAAAATTAACAACACGATAACATTAATATAATATAGAAAAATATTACTGATACAATAAATTAAAATATATAATTATATACAAAATATAAATTGGTAAATTATCTAATAATTTAATTTTTTATTTATGTAAATATTTACAAATTTTTGAATTTCAAATGTATGTTAATAAATTTATTAAAGTATTAAATATTTTAATTATTTTTTATGATAATTATATTTTATTTGTGTAAAAATATCTTATATTTAATAAATAAAATCACAGTAAACACATAAAATTGATAACAAAAAATAATATTCACAAAATTTGTTGAATCAGCTAAATAAATTATTATATTTAAAAAGTAAATAAATAGTCATTGTAAAAATTATAGGTAAAAAATATTTCTATTATAAAATTTAAGGATGTAAAAAAATAATATATAAGCATAGTAAGAATTAATAAAATTTATATTTAAATTAAAATAACTTATATTTCTAAACTTTTATCTTAATAAAAAATATATAATAAAATTTTATATATATATAATGACAATAATAATAATTATTAAATTAAAAATATAATTATAAAATATTTAATTTTATTTATTTTATTAAATTTTATTTTAAATTAACAAATATACGTAAAATTAACTACACTATAACATTAATATAATATAGAAAATATTACTGATACAATATATTAAAGCGTATATATATATATATATATATATATATTATAAATTGATAAATTAATTAATAATTTAATTTTTATTTATCCTTTTTTTTTGTAAATATTTATTAATTATTGAATTCTGAATGTATATTAACAATTATATTTCTTAAGAAAAAATCTATTTACATATATGTCAAATTCATGAAAAATAATTATTTAAAATTTGACATATTTATATTTAAGTATATTATTGTATACTGTGTATCTGGTATGTAAAATTTTTTTATATATACTTTGCTCAAAAAATTTATACTAATAAAAATAAAATACATATTAAGTTACAAAAAGTATATATTATTATATATATTTTATTTAAAATTATATTATTTACTATATGGTCCTATTATATATTTATATATATATTGTATATGAAATTTTTTATTTTTTTCTATTTTTTTTTATAAAATTTTAGTTTCAAATTTTTATTATTAAATAAATTTATTATTTAAATGTAAAAAATATGATAATTTATTATTAAATAAATTTATTATTTAAAATGTAATCATGTATAAATATTTTTAATTTTTAATAGAATATAATTTTTATTTATTATAATTATAAATAAAAAAATTATAACATAATATATTAATTTAATATAACAAAATTAAAAATATATTATTAAATAAATTTATTATTTAAATATGTTTTAACAACTATATATATATATATATATATATATATATATATATATATATATATAGGCCGACCTACCAAGTTTAACATACTTTAAAAATAAGCTTAGGTCTAGTTTGTTTACTTAAACAGACTTTAAAAAAAAGTTAAATTTTATTTGTTTATTAAAAAAGACAGACTAGACTAAGTTGTAGACTCCTATCAGGCGGCATGATATATTTCCTAACCCACACATTGAAATTCCATGGTGATTTTTTTGTGGGTCCGAGAATCATGGTACATATTTTATTAAAACTTAATGATAATAATTGTGCTCATCCACCGCTTGAGGCGCAAAGCCGCAACTCTATAATGGCCAAAAATTAGGTGTCCATTCAATTCACTTCAGTTAAGGAAGGAAAATGGACAAAAATTCAAAATTGTTAACTAAAAGTAGATAATTTTGATAGAGACACCATTGATAATGTCTCTACCCCTACTCTTTCTGTTAGGGATAAATCCAAAGTTTCCCCTTCCGATCAACACCTAATTTGGAATCTTTGCTTGTCCCATAACCCATATCCAAATGCATTTCCCTTTGTTTTGTTCTTTTGCAGGTGATTCTTATTCTTTAATGTAATTATCATCATCATCTGCAACAGATAGCATGTGTGATTTTTTCCACTAGTTTTACTTAACCGCCATAGTGAAATTAATAGAACTCAACCAAAATTAATAGAGATTTTTTTATGCCATTTTCCCCCAAAAATAGAAATTATTCTTTTGTTAGACTCAGTTGCAAGATCTTCTGAACTAGTTAATTTTATTTAATAATCATCCTATGATCCTATCCAAAATTTTAAAATTGGGATGAGATGAGGGATGCTAACAGCAAGTGGCGAGTGTGCTACCCGTATCCATATTCATTAGAATTACTGAATATCTATGCTCAGAGTAGTTATTAACGAATAACTGTATATATTTTAAAAAATTAAAAATATTATGTAATATTTTATATTATCATATTATATAATATATTAATAATATCATTAAATAATAATATAAAATAAAATTTATATCATCATAAAAATAAGAAATATATTAAATAAAAATTTATTACTGTATGCATGTATTTATGGGGCGAATAATATTTGTTTCTATCTATTTTATAAAGAAAAGAATTTATTTTACTTATATGTTTTGTAATGTTAGACCTTTAAATTTTCGAAGTGTATAAACAATCTATACTTTTGAAAATATTCAAAAAATATATCTTCTACTATTTTAATTTTTAATTTTTTCATTTTTATACTTCAAAATGTTAGTCACCATGTAGAGTAAAGATTAAAAATTTGGAAGTATTTTTGTTTAAAAATAAAAATTAAATATACAAGTAACAAAAGGTTTTTTTTACCTATTTTTAAAGGTAAAGTTTAAATTGTAGAAATTTAATATAAAAAATAAAGTATATATAGGAGAAGTATCTTCTTATACCACTACAAGTTTAAAAACTCTTACATCAAATCTGAACCTTTCATTTTACTTACATCTAACAGTTAGTGAAGTAATAAATTATAATCCGTTATATGTAAGTCAAATGAAAGGTTCAGATTTGGTATAAAAGTTTTTCAACTTACACCATTGTAAGAAGATCTTGTCCCATATATATAGAGAGAGAGAAAGAGTAAAGAATTTTTTTATACTAGTGTAAGTTTAAAAATTCTTACACTCGATTTAAATCTTTCATTTAACTTATATTTAACGGTCAATAAAGTAATAAATTATAACTTGTTAAATGTAAGTTAAATGAAAAGTTCAGATCGAGTGCAAGAATTTTTATACTTATACTAGTGTGAAAAAATCCTACACTGTATATATATCTTATAATATGTTTGCAGATATTATGTGATATATTATTTATTTATATCCCTAATGAGATTTCATTCAACAATTAGAAATTATGATTCCCTATCCACTTGTTGGACTGTCATTGAATTAATTTTAATTTAATAAAATTTTTATATATAATTATAATTTAATATTATGGTTATATAAAAAATGAATAAATATACTGTATTACAACATTAATAAAATGAAAGTAGAATATATTTTCAATGATTAAAATATCATTATTGATAAAAATAAATTAATATAACTATTTGTTTGTGTTTATACCCAACTACAAATTTCAATTGTTTTTCTCTTTTCTAGAACTACACATATTTTTCTGATTAATCTTTCAATTTTAAATTCAAATACTAGTGAGATTGAAATAGTAATATCTCGTATATACACAAAAATGAAATTAAAACTAATGCAAAATAAGCAATGTAAAAATAAAAAATACTAAAAATGAAAAATAAAAGTACAGAACGCAACATTGTAAACTAGGAAAAAATAATAAATGGTTAATTAATAATAATATATATGTTTTCATTGATAAGGAATTCAACAATTGTTAAAAAATGCAAAAACTTACTATACAAAAAATTAGCAAGCATACCATTGTTTTACAGAGAAAATTGTTATTGTAAACAAATAAATTCAAGGGTAATTTAGAACTGAATTTTAGGTCCTCTTAAGTTCTTTTAATTTTATTTTTAACATGATAATGAACGAAATGTCGTAAGGAAAATAATTGAGCAAAAATAGTAAATAATAATTAAAATAGAACAGAATTGAATGTGAAAGTTTTACCGAAACAAATTAAACAGGGATGAAGTTGCATAAACAGGAATGTAAAACGAACAAGAAATAGAATGTGAAAATGTAAATGTGCAAGAAAATAACGTACGACTCCTAGCAATAATGATTACCAATGATTGTGAATCTCTTGGTAGTTAGTGTCTGCCTCGGTGCAAAATTTTAGCGTGCAGAAAGTTTGGATACAGGTGTATCATGCAAAAAGTCTTCCCCTGGAAATATGAAGCTTCATAGTATTTATAGACGGATGAACCACAACTGCTCTCCCTTTTTTGCAAGCACTTTCTTGGCAACCGTCTTCTGTGTGTGCTTCTTCTCAACTGTTGTCGCCCATAACCATTCATGATCGTGCATTCTTCATGACTGCATGTTATCCACAATTGTTTCTTCGTACCTACGATCTCTGACCTTCAACTGGTATTAATTGCTGGTAACTGTTCCTTTGATAGTGGCTTCAAACCTTATGGTTTTTTTGTCATATTTCCTCCCCTCTTGGACTCTATCTTGTATCTTAGTCTTAGAATAAATTTCTTGTTATGTTTTTACAATTTTGAAGAATCCTATCGAAAACTTTCGTGAACTTAGAATAATTTCTCTTTCATCATATGTTTTTGACCGAAGTAAATCTATGAGCTTATTCGGTCTTGTAAATTTAGAATAATTTTCCTGTCAATTCCTATTTTTTGGCTACTTCTGAGGAAAATATGTGAACTCATTTAGTTTCATGGACATAGAATAATTTTATTGTCAATTTCTATTTTTTGATCAATTTTGGTTATTTTTCAGTCTAGTAGCTTGAAAATTTTTAAAAACTCCTTGAAAGGCCACCATTTTCTTGACAAAGAATGATTTTTTTTTATAATCCTTCAAAACTACTCAAAATATGGCCTTTTTGACGAGGGGTGAGGGTTTTCTTATAATCCTTCAAAATTCCTCGAAATGTGGCCTTTTCGACAAAGAATGAGGTTGTCTTGTCAGTCTTCATAGAAACAAATCGAACAATAGTTCCTTCATCAAGTTTTTAAACTTAGATTTTTCACAGATTCCTACCTTATCAGAATGTAGGGACTTATGATTCTCTTTGATTTTAGTCAATAGATATGTCTGTGCCATTGAGATTTAAGGCATATTTCTCCTAGAAAGACATAGTCTATACCACAAGAGTCTAGTAGAAATCTTTGTAGCTTCAAATTTTTTTCTTTTTCCAAACAATCATATAATAAAATTAGAATAGAATATCATTTCTGAAAAATTAAAATCTACTTTTAATAATACAAAAAATTAATTAATAAAAATAAAAGAATAGTTTATTTATTTATGTAACAACAAAAAATCGAGTGAAATAATGAATTGAATATAGAATTGAATTGAAAGTTGTAAGACACAATATAATTGAATTTTTTAAAAAATAGACTAGGAATTGGATTCTTCTCAATTCTCACCGCATGCTGAAAACAATATCTTCAAATTATAATTTATAAATCAATTAAATAATTTAATTTAGTTAACTAATTAAGATCCGGTTCATTGATAACTTCATCCTAATGCTCAATCAAAAATCCCAATTCCTTCAGTAGATTGAACCACATCAAATTAACCAGCTTAACTCATCAAATTTAATAGGGTGATTTACAATTTCAAATTCACAAACCCACTTAACCTTAAAATAGGTTAAGCGGGAGAGAAACAAGTTGACCCATAAAGTTAAAAGAAAATTAAAATAAAAGTAAATATTTTTATTTTATTTTTTATGCACATGAGTTTAATAAAAATTAAAAGTTAAACTTAATATTAATAAATTAAATTATTTATCTTTGATCGATGATTAATAGAATATTTATTCTCATAAAGAAACAACACAAAATTGCAAAATCGTTGGAGTTGCTTTGTGGACAGGGCCACAAAAGTTTGGTCAAGCCCATCTCAGAGGTTGGGCCAGGAGCAAAATTGGGCCGAATGAGTTTTCTTGAACTCCAGTGTAGAGGCCTCGAAATAATTTAATTGGAGTTGACCGTGCTTCTACCACAAATGCAGTTCAGTCTTTTTAATTATTTGTGCATCATGCTTTCCTCTTTGCTTCAACATCAGGCATACAAAATTATATCATAGTGATACATACCATATCAAAAGGTTTAGAATTCAATTAAATATGAATGTTAACTGAATACAGACATTAATTTGCACACTCACTTCAATTCCTTTAAAATTTCATTTTTTGCACAACATAGGACCCATTGCTTGCTTAATGCATGGTTCAGATGAAAATGATCATACATTTAGCTCATAAATTTTAGAGCAACTTTATCACAATCCATTGCAAATACAATCCACAATAATTAACCCAAAAACGTGCTACAGCCAAAAGAAAAAAGAAACGTGAAAAGTGAGTAAAATAAACCACTTAATTAGTATGTGTAATGGTTGATGAAATACAAAGCATTGCTAGTCTTCCTTGCCACATCCAAAACAATGTTCCTGATTTTGTCCCTCAAGGTGGCATTCACATTCATCTCATCAAACTCATCTGAGCACGTTTCTTCATTGGTGATAGAAGCACTCACCCAAGTCTTTATGTTACTAATCTGAAAATTTCTATCAGTGCCAGTCAAATGTCCCATGGTATCAAGAGAGTCCTTCAATTCTCCAATAGAGTCCTTTACATCACCAAAGCAATCTTGTACAACTTGTTCTTCAATGCTTGTCAAATTATTGCTCTTCAGAATCTTTGATATGGTGGAGGATGCACTATGAGCTGCCTTTAAGGCAAGGGAGAGACACACATTGCACAGCTTCAGAGGATTTGCTTCAATTTTTAAAGCATAGGGAGATAAAGTGCGGTAGCATATTGATGGATATGTGGTTGAATTGCAAGAGGCCTTAATGTAGTTTCTGTAGGTTTGGGTGGAACTAGAATTGTTGCATGCTGAAGTGATGCCTGATATGGCTAGAAGAATGAAGATAACATTTGTGAGAAGCTTGTGGGAAGCTAGCTTCAAAGGGTTGGCTTCCATGTCTAGATCTCAGCTCTTGCACTTGTTTTTCTGTGTTAATGCTCTCTAGGCTTTGATTTTCATCATTTATAGGCACATTCTGTGAATATTTTAAGCCCCACGTCCTTTGCTCCCTCCTAGGCAGAGTAAAGATCCACAACTTAAGAAAAAGAAATGTGAATTGTTCAAATGTCTGTGTATAACAAAGATAAATAATGATGTATAAAACAAGTTATACGACATCATATATAATATCAAGTTTTAGTTATTTAAATAACACAATTGTTAAGTCTTGGACTCATCACGTTTTCACATTTGCTATTTACTGTTTTCAACATTTTTAATACAAAGATTGAAAACATCTTTCTTTTTAAAAAAAAAAAAAAACTGTTAGGGCTTTTTCCTGAAATTATTTTTAAAAATACATTTCAAAAATTAAAACAAATAGATTTTCAACTCTGTTTTCAGTTTTTAGTTAAAATGAAAACAGAAAATAAGATAAACAAAACATTCTCTTATTTTGGCCCCAGAATGATACTAGAGTAGTAATTGAATTTTTTTCATTAATTTAGTATATAGTTTATAAGAATTATTTAGAGTTTAATTTTAATACTTTTTAAAGTAACATTTTTTATATTGTCAACTAATTAGAATACATTGTGAATATTATTTTTATATTAATTATAAAAATTAAAATTATTACTAATATGATAATTCATTATTTGAGCATAATTTAAAATGAAGTATATTTAATTAAATTCAATAATTTATCCCAGCTCATTCTATCTAAAATATGAGCTATCTCGAACTTGAAAATTTATACCAACTCATTGTATAAAAAATCTGAGCTGCAAAAAGTTTTTTTTCTTTCCGAAAAGCATAATCTGATAATCATTACTCATGATTGAATGATCAAAATAATAAACATGATTAGCCAAATGATAATACTTATAACATAATTAAGTTTTAGTTCTAATTATTCTATTATAAATTTGTTGTATAATTTTAAAGAATTTAATTATAATACAAAAAGATTTTTTATATTGTCATAAATTGTTGTATCAATAAAAATTATTGATTTTTCAATAGCAAAAAAAATTATTGATTTTTTTAGTAATTAATTTAAATATCACATCTACCATATGTTTTAATAGGTTAATATTGAAAAAAAAAATTATACATTACATTAAAATTAAACTTATTTGTTTTAGAAACCATGAGTTATCCTCGAATCTAAAGAATTTAAAACTAATTTATGGTTATATTTTATATACAGTGAGATTTAAAGACAAAAACATCCTACTATAAATAAATTGATTCGACACGTATTAAAATAATAAAAATTTAAACTATTGCATCAGCCATTTCAATTAAACTAAACTCATGTTATAAATAAAATATGAATATGATATTTAAATCAAGTCCAATCCTTAATACTAGATTGAAAAATATCTAAAATGCTCAATATTATAAATATTTTTTATTAGAATCAATAGTAGGAGTATCATGTACAAACAAAACTCCCCTACTAAATATTTAGATTTTCTTTTTTACCAAAGTTATATGCATTGAATTTTAATTAATATTCATATATAACTTCGTTAGAGAACAAAATATGATTTGCCGATAAACCAGTAAATCGCAAAATATTACTAATTATACGTTAAGTAACACTATAAAGCCCGTTACTTAATAACTAATTTTGATATAATGTCGATCTAAAAAAATTTATAATATTGAATAATTAAAATATACTATAAATGTAATTTGAAATTAATTATTATAAAATATGATTATGAATAGAAAAATTCATCACTAAATAATATAATTTAAAAGATTTACGTTATTAATAGAGTTTAATTAAATTTATTAATTATTAAGTAGGCTTTGGGTTACCTTGAGTATTGAGATATCGAAGTAGCAGAATGTAACAATTTTGGAAGAGGGAGAAGAACATTTTTAGAAGGCTTAAAAGGTTAGGCGGCATTTGAGGAGACAGATAAGCTTCTAACATATACATGACACGTATGAATGAACGTGCAGGCATTTCACATTGACATGCGTGAAACGCTGCACAAAGAAAGGGATGGCTTGTGATCACAAATTATAATAATAAATAATCATTGTCGCAACAAAGCCAGCCTATAAAGCACACTTTTTTTTTTTTTTTGAATTCTTTGCCGTATGGCCAAAATAACATCGTTAAATCTATTTTTATTTAAATAAAAATAATTTATTTAAATAAATTTTAAATTTGTTTAATGAGGATGTCTTCCTTTTTTTTCTTTTTCTTTTTTACCTCTACTTTTACTTATTACTTAGTTGAGATATTTTTCTATACTTTTTACTTTAATTCTTCTGTTATGATAATTATCAAGTCTATTTTTACATAAACAAAAATAAATTTATTTAAATAAATTCTTAAAAAATAACAAAAGTATTATAACAAATTTACTTGAATGCATTCTAAATCTATTTAAGCAAATAAAACTTCTACTATATCTTTTTTCTTTTCTTTTTTTTCTATTCTTTTACTTCTACTTCTATCTACTATCGAGCCTCTCTCGCTCTCCTTGCCCCAACTCTCCCACCCTATTTCGCTTCTTTTGGCCCATGCTTTCCCGCTTTTAGTTCCCTAATTCTCCTACTCTCTTTTTATTATCCCTAGCCCATTCTTCTTTCCCCCACCCTTTCCCATTGCCAGCCTAACCCTTTTCCTTTCTTTAGCCTAATTTTTCTTCCTCCTATCGCTCTCCCTAGTCTTTGCAAACCATTATGTCAACCTAATAGACCTGTCTTTACAATAACAAAGCTGCTACCACTCTCTAGATACATAATTTAGCCTATTATTTACAAACGATTATGTCAACCTAATAGGCTTCTATGGATCTGCTATCATTGTCTCTAAAAGTATTTGTAAGGATGACTTCCTTCCTCATCATGAAAATATAATCAATTGCATTTCGCACCAAATATAATAATAAACACATTAAATGTCCTCATAAATATGTTTCCATTACATAGTCAGTGAATTTTCTCTCTCTCGTTTAAATACCTTCTACTACACTGTGATCACAGTTATTAATTGCTTACAACATTTCATGAGGTCTTACACAGATAAGTAAAAGGTCACTGGTTAGTCCTTACACACAGATACAACATATATAGTATAAGGTTCCTTAATAAATGTATAGTCATGAGTGTTAGTCAGGAAATGAGTGTGAGACAATGTGATACATTTTTGTAACACTTTTATTTTGTTATTTATTATTATTGCAATTTATGTTAGTTGTTTGTGTATGTTGTTTGAAATAAAAGAAGTTTAATTGGTGTAAACTGCAAGATATCTCGCTGTAGCGAGACAGATCGTCCAAATTTGGGCTTTCTGGAGCACTCTCACTATAGCGAGACGTGGATAAGAATGACCCAATAGCCCTCTCACTATAGCCAAATGACAAATAACAGAGAAAAACGATTGTCGACTGGTTTTTTTGCTGTAGCGAGAAAGTCGCGAGTTTGAGAGATATTTAAAGAACTTCTGTTTTAGAAACTTTCATTTAGAACAAACTAACTTCCCTCTCAGTTCTCTCTATTCTCTTACCTTCTCTTCCCAGAGAAAACTCTCTCAAACTCCAAATCTATTCTAGACCTAAGCTTAAACGTTTATTTCTTTTGGATCCAAGTTTCTCAAAGGTTAGTTCTTCAAACTTCATTCTATTCATTTGTTTTCTCTTTTCTTAAAAGTGTTCTCTTTTGTAATATCTAGGAAAAATATTGATCCTTGAGTAGTATCTCCTATCATAATGTTGCGTTTATCTGTAGGTCTCACGAAGAAAGTATTCTTAGAGACCTATTTCCAGGTAAGAGGAGTTAATTCCAAACCTTAACTCCTATTTATATGTTTTTGGCTTAGAAATTCAAATTTTCCTATTCAGGATAATAGATCTCTAATGTTTTCTTAAAAGTACAGTGTAAAAGTGGATTTGTGGGTATGTAAAACCTAAAATTTGTTTTCATAACTACCTTAGCCAAACTTCCTGATAAGAGTTATGAATAAAATCAATTTTAAGAAGTTTTTATAACTTTGTTATTGATTATTATGCATGAACAATTAAGATCATGAATTATCATTGAAGACCATATGTGTAATAGGAAAAAGATTAAACTTCAGGTTAGACGATTTTTATAAAAGACAAGAGAGTGTGATATCTGACAATGTATGTTTAACTGCATGACTAGTTTGAGTCTGAAGGTGTCTGACCTTCGGCACATTGTATTGATTTGCATGATGTAAAAGTGAAGAATTATTATCTGTGTTAGATTGATATGATATATTACAATGAGTGTGGACTTTTATCTAGAAGTTGGATTGTAATGCAAGTATTAAGAATGAAATTTTCTTAAATACCCCTCAAACTCACACATTCTCGTTGGGCAAAACTCAACTTGTTTGGGAAAAAATATCAGACAATGATTTTCAAACTTTTTTTTAAATATTCTCGTCTGAGCAAGAATGAGTCCAGAAAGCTCCTTATTCATCCTGTATCTTCTTGCCTAAGCGAGATCGATCTTGCCTGAGTGATGATGCAATAAAGTTCGTCGCTAACTCTCATTAAAACATGCCAAAAAATTTATGTAGTCTACGATGCAAGCTTAGGTTGTCTCTAGTGACATTGGATGAGAAACAGACATCAAACATGTTGTAAACATTAACTCAAAAAGCAAGTAAAAAAAAAGGGAATTTTGTGGTTCCAAGTATAAGTTACTTAATTAGAAAATTAAATTATAAAGTTTAATCAATAGAATAAAGTAACCCCTAGTTTATCTATATAGATTCTATCCCAATTCCTTTTAAAATTTAATACTTTACCATTTTCCTTAAATTAGGTCAATTTAACAAGTAAAAATTAACTTTAAATTCTCATACAAAATTAAGCAAATCAATGAGTTCCAATCTCTAATCCTTAGGATTAAGCAACCTTAGAATTAAACCCAAAATTAAGCAAACTAAGTTGAGAAGT